TGGCCCGCGCCCCCGCGATCAATCAAGTCGAGCATGTCCTCGACCGAGGCGGGACTCGCCAGGCGCTCTTCGTCCCCGCCCGACGACGACGATGCAACGACGAGGGCGTAGACTTGCTCGCGGAGGGCAGCGTCGCCGCGCAGCGCCGAGGCGCTCTCCTCGCCGAGGAAGCCGTCAGCGGGAAAGGCGGCGTGCAGGGCGCTGATGAGGAGCGCCTGGGCGGCAAAGTCGGCGACGGTGACGGGGGTCGCGTCCGCCTTGGCCACGGCGTGGCGGGACGACTGCATCGACTTGGTGAGGACGGCGGCGCGTAGGACGGCGGCTTCGGCGACGGCGCGCTCGCGCGCAAAAGGCGCCGTCATCTTTCTTTCCCTGGGTTCCGGGTGGGCGTGTGTGTGTCTGCGAGACTTCTTGCCTGGTGAATGGTGAAGTTGTTTGTTTGTAGGTGGAAACAAGCGTCGCAGGTCGCAGTCAGTGGGTAACAACATTGAGCTACATACAACCAGCAACAGCCCTCTGAGCAGTAATTCATCAGAAGCAACTCGAGCATGTATTGATTTATTAACAGACACAACATGATGCGCAAAGATGGCAACTTGGTTTACAACGAAAAGAGCCGAAACAGAAAGGGTATATCTCATTATGCACATCGCTTTCATCCTCCCTTGAGCGGATTCCATTACTTGAACCATCATGTTGTAAATACACGGGGCATACATTGACCTTCCTTCATTGGATGGATAGGTAACCAGTGGCCGACGCACACGGTTCCTCCCATTGTCATAGTAGCCGCCAGACGACAAAAAATGCCAACAAAAACAATGTGAAACAGTAAAAACTCTCACAAATTCTTCCAATAACCGCAATGTCCTTCCGCTTTTCTAATCAGACAGCGACCCATGGCAAACCAACTCCTTCTCCCCGCCTGTCCTTCGTGAGTCGTTTCCTATTGCCTTACACCTCTGGGTATGTTGTATAGTTGCATACCCTCGCCCAATAAAACCCAAATTTGCACCAATATACCAAACGCCAGGAAAATGCCAAAAACTAATGCAGGAGGGTATATAATCGGCAGCGATCAAATACATATCTTGACCCCCTCGTGTTCAAGATTCAACGCTCCGGTGCCTTGTCCATGGGCGAACTACGCACCATTTGTGCTCGGCCTGACTGAGCTACCATCTTTCTTGCGCGCGTACAATGTTTTGTACATGTTGCTTAGTCGATCGCCCGTTACACTCTTGCTTGTGTCATCGACAGGCCAAAGAGCAGCGAGGAACTCCCTGTAAAACAAGTCAGTATATGCAGAACAGGTTTGGGCAGTTCAAAGCTAACTTACCAGAAATTATCTTTCAGGCGTTCATCCGCTACAGTGGCTGGAAGCTTCTCATCTAGGAATCTCCCAATTACCACAAGCTCTACCGCAAAGATTGACGCGCGTTCTTTGCTCGACTTGATTTTATGCTTCGTTGTTGACAGGATCCGCTCAAAATTATCTCGTACGGGCTTGAGCAGGTACCAGATCATAGCGTGATTGTTCTTGTCACGTTGCTCTGCTTTATCGCCAATTTCGCGAAGCTCATCTAGGCGACGAAGTGCAGTTGCTCTTCTCTCATCGACAGGATTCTCTTTGCGATGGTTTCTGTCGCGCTCCGCGTGGCGGTCTGCGTGGCGGTCTGTGTGGCGGTCTGTGTGGCGGTCATCGCGCCTATCATCGCGTCTGTCGTCGCGCCTCTCATCACGTCGGTCATCACGTCGGTCGTCACGTCGGTCGTCACGTCTGCCGTCACGTCTGACATCACGTCTGTCGTCCCGTCTGTCGTCCCGTCTGTCGTCCCGTCTATCGTCGCGCCGGTAATCGTCACGATGATCATCACGTCGTTCGTCCCGTCTAAAATCCTCGCGACGGTAGTCATCTCTGCGGTGATCATCTCTGTGACGGGGTTTCTCGCGGCGTCGGTCGCGGTCGTCATCATCTCGACGTCGAGATTGATCATGTCTATCACCTCTGTCATCGGGTCTGCTGTTGCGGCGCCCGTCTTCAGTCCGAGGGTGCTTGGGAATGCGAGAATCTTCATGGGAGCCCGCTTTGCGCTTGAGTTCCGGTCGGGGGGTTCCGCGATCATGGTCTCGCTCCTTCTCCCGTGGGCGTTTCACGCTTTGGCCGCTGGGAGATGCAGCAGCACTGTTGCGATGACCATTGGAGAGTGTCTGTTTTTTCGCCCGGTGGCCCTCGCCCATGCGAGGCCCAGGGCGATCATTAGACTGCTTTGCAAGAAGAACGGACAGCAAATACTCCGAACGTCGCACAAGATGCACTGCGCCGGGTGCCTTCAGCCTGTCATTGGCCTTGGACCTCTCCTCCTTCTTACCGACGCGGTGCTCATCCAGGAACAACTTCTCTGAAAGCTCCAGATCTAAATCATCGCGAATCTGTACCCACGCTCCGAATCCGTGCCTGTCGATGCCAACGAGAAGCATGGCATCCTCTTTGGCTCCCCATGAGCAGCTGTAATTGGTAGCCTTGGTTGCGTCAGGAAGTCGGTATGTTTTCCAATCAGCCTGGCTTCTGATGGCATCGCGAAGAAGCTGCAGCTGCTTTGGTCGTTCGATGGCTGTCTCAGCATTGACCTTCTTTAGATCACCAAAGTCGATTAAAACAGCTTTCCTGTCCTTTTTTGTCAAAGTCTTGCCAATCTTCTTCTCTTCTTCGGCCAATCTGTTCAAATTTTCATCAACAGCTGTTTGGGCCGCCTTGACAAAATCGTCTAGGAGAGACTTGACAAAGTCGCTATCGCGTTCGACAAGCTTAGCTTCGCGAATGATATCATCTCGACGATCATCCATTGAGCCGAAGCGGAAATAGGCCTTGATAAGGTTTCGCTGCTCTTTGTCATTCAGAGGTCGCTTGGGGTCAGCTCGGAGAGCCCGTTCTTCTTCCTCTTCTTGCTGCTGTTCTCGCTGTCGCTTCTGAAGGCGATCGGCACGTTCCGACTCCCGATTGCGGCTTTTAATAGCGGCGCGTCGGGGCGCACTCTCAGCGGCGACTTTGGCCAGATAATCGTCGTGGAGACGCTTCTCTTCCTCTGCTTTGATCTCTGCCAACTTGTCGGCCGGGATAATCTGGTCCCAGTCAAGGTTAATATCGTCAACTTTGACATCAGTAATCTGCATGAAGTTATCCCAGTCAATGCCACCACTGCTGAGGTTGATCTTGTCATCGACCTTGGTCTTGGTAACTTCCGCATTCTCTAGAATAGAGTCAATATCGAGTTGCTCAAGGCGCTCCTGGTTGCCGCTCTGCTCGAACATCTTGGACGAGCGCATTTTGAGAACCATTTGAATGTCCTCATTTGAGGATGGTCCATCAACCTTGATGCCTTTCTTATTGAGCTCTTCCTTGAATGCAGCCTTGCCATCATCTGTGACACCTGCCTGGATAGTAAGGTATTCCAGCAGCAGCTTGTTTCGTGCACGCTCCAGGACTTCCTCTTCGACGGTCTCCTTGGAGACAAGGCGGTAGATATTGACAGGGCGCTTTTGACCGATTCTGTGTGCTCGAGCCATGGCCTGCAAGTCGGCCTGGGGGTTCCAGTCGGAATCAAAAATAACGACAGTATCCGCTGTCATCAGGTTGATACCCAATCCACCTGCGCGAGTGGAAAGTAGGAAGCAGAAGTCGTCGCTATCGTCTGCGTTGAAGTGGTTGATGGCCATTCGTCTAGGGCCTGCCGCAATAGTGCCGTCCAATCTCTGGAATTTGTAACCACGGAGAGACATGTAGTCACCAAGAATGTCGAGCATCCTAACCATCTGGCTGAAGATGAGCACGCGATGACCGTCCTTCTTCAGTTTGGAGAGCAATTGATCCAGTAGCATCATCTTTCCGCTACTGGTGACGAGACCTTTGATGAGGTCTTCACGACGGACGCTACCAGCCAAGACTCGCTCTTCAGCACCAGGAAACATGTAAGGATGGTTGCTGATTTTCTTGAGCTCCATCATGATGTTGAGCAATGAATTCTTGTGACCACTGCTGGCGTCGGAAAGCGCAGCATAGTTTCTGGTCAAAATGTTTTTGTAGTAATCCAGCTGAACATCGGAGAGCTCAACGCGAATGATCTTCTCCGTCTTTGGGGGCAGGTCGGATTCCACGGTTTCTTTCGTCCGCCGTAGAATGTAGGGAGCAATGGCACTATGCAGTTCTTGCAGTTTTTCCGAGGCATCATTCGCGTCAAATGACTCTAGGTCTTCGTCAATCTTGACCTTGCCAGGATTCAAAAAGTCCAGGAGGGCAGCAAGTTCGGAAAGGTTGTTTTGGATGGGTGTGCCGGTAATGAGTACTTTGCAGGGGATGCCAAAGCCAAGCAAACGCATGTAGAGCTGAGACTCGGCATTCTTGAGACGATGGGCCTCATCGACTGCGAGACATTGAAACTTGATTGATTGGAGAAACTGCCAGTCCTGAAGGATGAACTCATACGATGTGACGAGAACGTTGAACTTGGGCTTCTTCGGGTTACCATCCACAAGCAACTCGTTTTCGCGAATGATGCTACGCGCATCTTCGGGACCTAGATAAACGACATAGTTCAGATCCGGAGACCAGTTATTGAACGTGTCGCACCAAGCTGGGATCACACTGAGAGGCGCGACAACCAGCGAAGGCCCTTCTTGTTTGCGGCAGTTGCGCAGCCAGCTAAGAAACGAGACAGTTTGGACCGTTTTTCCGAGGCCCATTTCATCGGCAAGGATGACATTGTTGCCTCTACACCAGTTGAGGCAAAGGAAGTTGAGTCCGCGAAGCTGAAAGGGGCGCAACTCGCCATTTTGGATGTAGCCAGGTTGCTCATCCAGCTTTTTCATCCTAGAGCGGGTATCCGGGTTGGTTTCCTTCCGATCGGACAACCAGGACCTCGACGCACGGTCGAGATACTGATCAATCTTGTCTTGGAACACGCCGTTGATGTCGTCGGCTACCTCCCAAGTACATTCCTCATAGGTGAGGCCTTTCCATTTGACAAAGTACTCAGGGCCGTCCTCTCCATCGCGGACATTGACGACTCGTTCAACTTTTGTGTAGTCTTCGAACGCTTCTTCGTCACGAGCACGATCAAGGAAGTATTGCTCTTTGATTTCGGGTGCTACATCTTCACCAAAGCGAACGTCGAGCTCATACTCAACCACCTTCCGGAAGTAATTTTCGACTTTGCGGAAGCCACGCACATTGCGAAGAGACTCGATGGTTTCCCACGTGTCATGCAAGTTGGACTTGCCTTGCCACTTGATGAAGTATTCAAAGTCGTATCGGCTGGAGTCGAAGGCAAGGACAATACCGTCTTTGATTTGATGTTTGACGACTTTTTCAACATACGGGGAGTCATCGACATAGTCGGCAACATAATACCCCTGGCCAGCTTCGGTGTCGTCTTCTTCTTCCTCGGCATCGCTCTCTTCATAAGCTCCTTGTTGAACTTGTTGCGCAGCCCGTCTGTTAGACCAGCGCTTCTCCGAGAGAGCCAAGCCTGGTTGAGCTTCGAGCCGTTGTCGAGCTCGCTTAATTTGGCTCTTCGCTCTCGCACCGCCATATGTGTCTGAATCGGAATCGGAATCATTGGTCGATTGCAAGACCGGGGTGGCTCGCTTGGATGCTATTGACCGTGTAAGTCGGGAGGAGGTAGCTGGGAAGATAATGGGGGACAACATACAAGTATGAGAGTTATCAACGCGTCGCCTCTTGGTCTGACGGCGGCTAACGGGCTCAGCGTCGGATTCTGAATCTGATTCGGCCTATGCGACAGCTGTGAGCAACGTGATCTTCTTTTACATGCATAGGCTACATACCAGCTTGACTTGGGGTTGGGGGCGTCGCTACAGTAGAAGATTAGCGCCAATGGACAAGGTGAAAAATTTTCACAGGGGGGGGATGTCATACACTACGGCGTAGGCCGTAAAGCTCTGGGTTGGCTCTCATATAGTCTTCTTCGTCGAACGAGGCTTTACGCTTGGATACTTGATTTGAGTCGCTGGAGCTCGCACGGCCACGCGGCTCGTCGTCGTGGTCCTGGGGCGAGGGGGCATCGTTACGCATCTCGAAGTCGGCATCATGAGACACATTATCGGGGCTGGATTCTTGACTTTCTGACATGCGATCGTCATCAAATATGTTATCTGCGCCATTGCTGGCGCCTCTAGCATCCCCCAGAGGCGACGGTTGATGCGCCGGCGTCAGGGAGCGATTCGAGGCCTCGCTATTGGTTCGGGAGCGTTGTGCGGGGATATGTGAGTCGTTTTCATCATCTTCCGTTACATGTCCATTGAGAGGACTGCCCAGGGCAGGGCTAGACATGGTTGTGATTTCGCCGAGCGCTCGGAGCGTTCTATGTTCAGAGTGGTGTTAGCAGAATATCCCTCGCCTGTATGGCTACCCAAGGGGCACAAGCAGTAAAGAGTGACAGTAAGGTCGAGGTGAGCCATCCGGATGCAGAGCAAAATAGTATTTGAGATGAGATATTGCCGATACCGGTCCAGTATCGCAGGTCTAGTGATGGAAAACGACAGGACAAGACCGGCAGAAGAGTGGCGAAGGCGTTGGGTGTAGGGCAGCGGCGTATGTATGATTAGGGCATCAAATTCAACGGATTTCATCGAGGATTGACGCGGATATAGGCGATCTCAACAGTCCGGGACAGCTGACGGGATGTCAAGAAGCGTCGGAGCCGGGCATCGGCGAAGACTGTCGCTGGTGTGCTGGCCACAGGAAGGATGGGGGCATTAAGCAATAACGCAGGTAATACGTACCATTCATAAATGAAAAGAAGACGAGTACGGAAAGACGGAATGAAGTAAAAGTGAGGAGGGAACAGTAGTTAGAATTGGGGAGGATCGTGGGGGAAATCGGTAGGGTGCGAGGAAGTGTGGTTGGAGAGAGGGCCGGCCGATGGTTATAAAAAAGCATGGACAGAGAAGGGCAGAAAGAAAATGGAGGGACTGATGGGGCGGAGAACCGAAGGCACGGCTGGGTTGGGGCCATTCCATTTTAGGTTTTCCAGTGGCACTGTGGCAGGAGTGTTACAGGGGCGCCATTGGCGCGCCAGCGAGGTAGACTATGCCGTAGCACACTACAGAATGGACCTACTAATCTACTTAGTAAAGGATAAAATAATACTCAGACGACCGATCTGATAGTAAAAAGGCCAACAAGGTTTTCATCTTTTCTTTTTTTTGTCCTAGCAAATTGTAAAAATAATAGCAAAATGTAGAGAGAAAGTAAGGACCTGCAGGTGCCTGCGGACCTACCAATAGACCTACCATGGACCTACTGCCCAAGTCATGCCTTGTACCACAGTCAACAAGATCACGTGTTGGTACGACAGAACTTCACTCTTACAAACCGCGGCAGCCTCAATACAGCACGTGGTTCAAATCAAGGTTATCCACGGCTTCGAATGACTCTTAAACTCAAATCCTCATCATGACTACCTAGTAAACTCTCGCGGTAAACTTTGGCGGGCAACTTGCTTGCCGCGTCGCCTCGCTGTCTCCCAAAAGGCAGTAGTGTACTACACCACAATCTCCCACGGCCATTGTGCTACCATGACGTGCCAATAAAAATGCATGCAAACCTGAATATCCCTCTGATGAATCATGGCAGCACCTACCGTGTTCCAACTTTGTCATGCAGGTCGTTCTTGAGCCCCTCAACCATCCACACCACCTCACAGGTTCATTGTCACGATCTGGGTCAAGGACTCGCCAAACTACCTAACCTGGCTGGGCAAAAAAAAAAAAAATCGAGCTTCAGGCTTTTTGGTGTCTTTTATTGCTATATCGTTCCCTCTGCGTCAACTCCTGCCCCGTGACGGTCGTTCATTGACACGTCAGACAGAGCTAGATAGTGCCAGGCAGCTCTACAGGTACTCAGACACTCTAGACCATATGGAATATACTTACTCAAAGCCCAACCTCTAACTCTCCCTCGACGCTCCACAGTATCAACTCCAACTCGCCCGTTGTTGCCCTGCCCCCGCCAAAGCGACGATTCACGAGTCGCGAAAAATTGATGACCATCCCACTACTTGCGGCCACCGTTTACCTCACATTGGTCTCCCGATTCTCCTCCTTTCCTACCACCATCCTCCAAATCCTCTTCGAGACTTGCCGTTGCGCCTACCGTGTGCTTTGGTCATTGTTCCGTGCATAGGATCCGATTTCTTTCGTCTTTTTGCCCCGCCGTCCCCCGTCCAGCTTGTTCTGCATTCTCAGCATATAAAATCATAAAATCGTGTCAAAAACTTCGCTACCCCACCATCCACCACCACCGCCACCATGGTCGACAAACTCACCCGGTAAGGTGCCGCCGCCGTGCGCTGCCTGCTGGCATTGCGCGCGAAGAATGACCGCAATTCAAAATTACCTTCCACTAACGCCGTCTGCTCCAGTATCGCCATTGTCAACAGCGACAAAGTACGCCGCCCCCGCCTGCCGACCGTCCTCGAGTACCCCGCCGTGCTGACCGTCTTTATAGTGTCGTCCTCGAAAGTGCAGACAGGAGTGTAAAAAGTCCTGCCCCGTCGTTCGCAGTGGCAAGCTTTGCATTGAAGTCGCTGCCGATTCCCGTCTCGCCTTCATTTCCGAATCGCTCTGCATTGGTTGTGGTATCTGCCCCAAAAAGTGTCCCTTCGACGCCATTACCATTATCAACCTGCCCACCAACCTCGAGAGCCAGGTCACCCACCGCTATGGCCCCAACAGCTTCAAGCTTCACCGCTTGCCCATGCCCCGCCCTAATCAGGTCCTTGGTCTTGTTGGAACCAACGGTATTGGCAAGAGTACCGCTCTGAAGATTCTCAGCGGCAAGCTCAAGCCTAACCTGGGCCGCTTCGACAACCCTCCTGACTGGGAGGACGTCATCAAGCACTTTCGTGGTTCTGAGCTCCAGAGTATGTTTCTACTCTTTATGTCTAGTGGTTGAAGCAAAGTGGCTAACCGGCTCCCCTTCTAGACTACTTCACCAAGCTTCTAGAGGATGACCTAAAGGCTGTTGTCAAGCCTCAGTATGTTGATCAGATCCCCAAGGCCGTCCGCGGCCCGGATAAGAGCGTTCGCTATCTGATCGAAAGCCGTGCCTCCCTGGAGAACTCCAAGGAGGTTGCCGAGGTCCTCGAGCTGAACCACATCATGGATCGTGACATCACCCTCCTCTCTGGTGGTGAGCTTCAGCGGTTTGCCATCGGTACCGTCTGCGTCCAGAAAGCCGATGTCTACATGTTTGACGAGCCTTCCTCGTACCTCGACGTCAAGCAGCGTCTCGCCGCCGCCAGAATCATTCGCTCACTCCTCCGTGACGATGACTACATCATCGTTGTCGAGCACGATTTGTCCGTCCTTGACTACCTCTCCGACTTCATCTGCGTTCTCTATGGCAAGCCCGCCATCTACGGCGTGGTTACTCTACCTGCGTCCGTCCGCGAAGGTATCAACATCTTCCTTGACGGTAACATTCCTACTGAGAACTTGCGTTTCCGTGATGAGTCCCTTACTTTCCGCATTGCCGAGGGTGCCGACGAGTACGCCCTGGACCGCTCACGCGCCTTCAAGTACCCCAAGATGGAGAAAACTCTTGGCAACTTCCGTCTTCGTATTGACTCTGGTGATTTCACCGACTCTGAGATTATTGTCATGATGGGAGAGAACGGCACTGGCAAGACCACCTTCTGTCGTCTGCTTGCTGGTGCCCTCAAGCCTGACACTAAGGCTGGCGTTCCTGAGATGAGAATCAGCATGAAGCCGCAGACCATCACGCCCAAGTATGACGGCACTGTCCGTCAGCTCTTCTTCAAGAAGATCAAGGCTGCTTTCCTGTCTCCTCAGTTCCAGACCGACGTTGTCAAACCCCTCAAGCTTGACGACTTCATTGACCAGGAAGTCAAAAACCTGTCTGGTGGTGAATTGCAGCGTGTTGCCATTGTACTGGCTCTCGGTCTCCCTGCCGACATCTACCTGATTGACGAGCCCTCTGCCTACCTAGACTCCGAGCAGCGTATCATTGCCTCACGTGTCATTAAGCGCTTCATCATGCACAACAAGAAGACGGCCTTTGTCGTCGAGCACGATTTCATCATGGCCACCTACCTCGCGGACCGCGTCATTGTCTTTGACGGCCAGCCTGGTATCGACGCGCACGCCAACACCCCCGAGTCTCTCCTCACCGGCTGCAACACGTTTCTCAAGAACCTCGACGTCACCTTCCGCCGCGATCCCACCAATTACCGCCCTCGCATCAACAAGCTTGACTCCCAGCTGGATCAAGAGCAGAAGCTGAACGGCAACTACTTTTTCATGGACGACAAGGATGAAAAGGTCACTGCTTGAAAAGGGCACCCAACGGAATAAAGCTCCTCCCCCCTACCAGCAGTCGCCAGATGAGCACATGCACGGTAGCGGCGGCAGTGAAGCACGATGCAATTTAGGAGCCCACGGCATTCTGGAGCGCCAGGACTTGGCTGCGCCAGAAACCGGCGCCAGCGAGGAAGACGAGCCGGACGACTAACACCGGCGGCAAGCAGCCTCTCCCCTGTTGTCTGGTCCTGCCACGCTAGTATTCTAGTATGGGTGTTGCGGTTTGTGGCTGCAACCTCACCCGCGGCAGATTGAGGGACAATGGATCAAGAACGGAGGACTGCTTGCAAGAAAAACGGGCCCGTATCCTATCCTCGCGGGAACGCGGGCTCGTTTGCCTAATGAGAAAAGTTTTCATGTCGAACAAGTTATTTAAACGAGGTACATACAATACAAAATGCGTTTCACGCATTTCACACATTTCACACATAAGTGAATCTCGTAGTACTAAATGTACCTTATTATACTCTGCATTAATAAAGCATCCCTCCTTGAAGAATATACTACTAAGCGCCATTGGTGTCTACGATAGAGATGATACGGGTATGGCCCCTAGATGATGCGGCGGTAAGAAGGATCGCGACCAAAATGGGGACACGATCCTATTTCCCGCAACAGGGCACTGTTCAGGAAATGCACCCCCGTTGTCGGTTAGCTTTGACGAAAAAGAAGAAGAAGAAATTCAAGGTTTCTTTTCTGTTTCCGTTTCGTGTTTTTTTCTTACTCCTCAATCTCGCCCTCTTCGCTGCCGCTCAACATTTCGGCGTCCTTGTCCTTGCTCGGTACGTCCGGAGCGACAGCAGCAGCGGCCGCGGCCCGAGCAGGACTCTTGCGACGCTCGTCGCGCGGGGGCGTGCGCTCGCGAGAGCGGTCTCTCCTGGCTCGCTGTTGGCGGTTTAGTACACTTCTTGTTACTTTGAGGGATAGGGGTTCGACCAGAGGAACATACCTTGGAATCTCTTGAATCTCTCCGCGCATAGTCATTTTCTTCGTCCTGGCGGCGGCGACGCGTGCCAGCCGGACGCTCATCACCATAGGGGAGCTCGTCATACGAACCTCGCTCCGCGCCCCGGCGGCGGTACCGATCCCGGTCCTCCTCTCTATCGCGCCGCGTGTCACGGTCGTCGTCGCGCCGCGAGCGGCTCGGGCGATCATAGTCGCGCGGTTCGCGGTGCTCGCGCGGTTCACGGTCGCGTCGCGCGGACGGCACCGGCGGTGACGATGGCCGGCCGCCAGCACCTCGCTCACTACCCAGCAGGTTCTCGGCCATGGTGGACTTACGATGATTGCGCTCGCGCTCGGCAATCGCCTTGCGTCTATCCGCCTCGTAGGGGTCCAGCTCCGGGCTGCGGCTGCGTCGTCGCGGCGCACCGCCGGCACCGCGGCGCGAGCGTTCCCGGTCCCGGTCGCCGCGGGCCGTGCGGTCGCCGTCACGGCGGGGAATCGCCACGTCGCGCTCGCTAGATCGTCGCACGCCGCGTTCCACATCCTCGTCCTTTTCGCGAAGCCGGCGCATGTGTCTGTCAAAGACGCTGTGGAGGGCATCGTCTGGGAGCGACTGGAATTCTGCAACCTTCAGTAGTCGTGGTCGTACCTTGTCAAAAGTGTCACTGAGGGTGACGGGAGGATCCATGCGCTTGAGGTGGGCGCGGGCATCGTCCATAGTGCGGCGCTGGTGGCGGTCAGGCTGCCTATCCTCGTCCCGTTTTTCGTCCCGTTTCGAGGTTCGCTTGTCGCGCAGCTGGGATCTAGTCAGTACAGCAAGCGATACGCCGCAGTAGGGGAGATGGCTTACCCGTTCAAAGAGGAGTTTAAGAGTATCGGGATCAATGTTAGCAGTGCGTCGATCATCCCTCATAATGGACATGAACTCCTCTAATTCGCTCGTGGGTGTAATTTCAACCCGCTTGTCCTGTATGGAATTAGCCATCGATTTCGATTCTGTACATCGAGATGACTTACCTCGAGAACATCCAGTACATGGTTCCTAGGGCCGCGCAGATTGCGCTCTTCTTCTTCCACGGCATCCCAGAAGAGCTCTTGGGCGGTGGAGCCGTCGTTAAGGCCAGCCATGCCAATGTAGCGCTCGTCATTCTCAATGACGGGTAGGATTTGGGACCATGTCGATTTGGCGTTGATTTTTCCGTCTTTTCGAAGTTCGGCGAGCAGAGGCTTGAAAGCATCGCGAGCCTTGCGCTCCTTGCGGTACTTCATGTTCTTTTCCTCCTGCTTGGCATCGTTGAAAGCACGTTCCAGGGCCTTCATGTGATTTTGGAACGCTGTTAATATGTCATATTGGGTCAGAGATTTATACTTCTCTTCAGTCTGGAACGTGGTCGTAGAGGACAGTGTCTTTTGTGCGTCAGACCAGGACGAGTATGGCTCGAGGCTGAGCTGCGGCAACAGCTCCAAGAGCCCGTCCATGGCGCTCTTGCGAATATTTGACTGCTGCTCCTTGTGTGCTTTTTTGAGCCCCTGGACGTATTCCTCAAAGAGATTCCTTCGCTCGATTTCGTTGCTCGTGGATCGGAAGGTGGTCTCGCCCTCAATAATGGCGCGTCCAGTCTTCCATCGCGTGTAGTGCCGAATCTCGGGGTGGCGCTTAAGCATAGTCACAAAGTCGTTGCGCAACTTTGTCATCCTCTCCGCAGCACGCTCCTTGTCCTGCGAGACGACATCGAGGCAGTACTTTTCAAAGGCAGCGCGACGGTCTTTGGGATCTTTAATGGCGCGAAACTGGGGGTCCTTGGCGGACGCGCGAATCGCCTGCTCCCAGGTCCAGTCGGGCTGCACGCCACTGCGGCGAAGCAGCTTGGCAAAGGCAGCCTCGGCCTCCTCCAGTGTAGCGTAGTCGGGGTCGTCATTAGCCGGTACAAACGCCCTGATTTTGGGGTCGATTGGGGCGGCGAGCTGTCGTCCATCGGCGTACGAATCGCGATCGCGGTAGTCGCGGTGATCCCGGTGGTCTCCTCGGTCGCGTCGATCTCGCTGGTCGCGATGGTCACGATGGTCGCGCTGGTCACGGTGATCGCGATTGTCACGATGGTCGCGTGCGTCTCGCCCATCGCGGTGTGAATCGTAGCCGGTCGGCGCGTTTCCCTGGCTGAATGGCGCCGCAGCCGGTACGCCGGTGTGGCCAAGGGCAGCCTTGAAGGCTTCGGGCATTTCCCAAGAGCTCTGCTTCGTCTCGGTGTTGTACCAATACTTGCGCCCGCCCTCGGCCGTGTACTCTTTCCACGGTTGTGACGACAGTGCACGCTGCGTTTAACGGGTTAGTCACAGGTAAGCGGGAGACTTTCGCCAGGTACGAACCTCTGCCGGCGTCATCATGTCCTCCGGCTTGGTCCATTGCGTGACCTGGGTCGCGCTGTTATAGTAGTAAGCCCGTCCATCCGGCGTGTGGTGCTCCGCCCACGTCGACGCCGGAGGCGCCTGGGGGCCACCGTATCCGTTCATGCTGGACGTTTGCTGATTTTAAGGATATCGAAATAGCTGTCAGCGAGCCTTGTTACAGCAGCGCCGATGAGTTTGCGAGATGCGAGAGCGTCGAATTGAGTCGGAGGGTGCACAGGAGCAGGTCGGCGGTAGCCAGACGGCTGGTAATTTTTCTGCCGCCAAGCTGATTCAACGTGCACGAGCCACGTTTCACCAGCCACATCCTGTGCCACACTTCCTCATGTTCAAGCTCGCGGTGACCAGCAAACAGCAAAGGGGAATGGCATTGCTTCAAATTCGAAGCTCATGAGTGTGCATGTCTAATATTGCGTGTCATTTCTTATAAAATTCATACTTATGGGCTCCTTATAGTCTCACGCAACATACAAACCCGCGCATCATGTCGGAAACGGATGCGAGAACATCAGAAGACCAGCCGCCGTCGCAGGCGCTGCCTCGAGACACGTCTGGAAGCTTCACAGACCAGTCCTACCTCACCTACATGGTGCCGTCAGAAACCGACATCAACCTCGAGGAGGCATTCAGCAAGTTGCAGCCAGGCAAATCGCTCGCAGAATCCATACCGCAACGCGAAACTCTCTTCTTTGGTACGTCATCACCCGCGTCCCTCCCCTTTGTGGCACCCGCCAACTCACTCACGTCACTAACCAACACACCCCCTTACAGACGAAACAGTGCAAGTCTTGCTCGTCCTCAAGACGCCATGGATGGAGGAAAAGGAGCTCCAGTCGAGCCTCCAGCGGCTCATGATCTCACTGGCTGCGCACGTCGTCAACAGCCCGACCGGCGCCGCCGCCGCCGCGCCGCCCTTATCCGAGTCCATCTACGTCGGCGCCGTCCGCGACATTAGCGATCCCTTCATCGTCGCAGACGAGGAAGCCAGCAGCGACACCACCACCACCACGCAGTACCTCTATGCCGTGTGGAAGCTCGCGGTGCCGCTCGTCCGCCCACGCATGCGTCTGCACCGCCCGTCCGTCCTCTTCTCCGCCTCGGCCGGCGTCCGCCCCGAGCAGCCCGCCGACGGCAGCGGCGCGCGCACCGCCGGCTACCTGCAGAGCGGCGCCCCCTCGGGCCTGAACCTGCTCGAGTCCTTTGCCGGCGACCCGGGCCTGCACGGCGTGCGGCCGCGGCTCTCGGCACTGCGCGTGTCGCGCGTCGCCCCCATCACCCGGCCACAGGACCTCCTCACGCGTCTCCGCACGCTCCCGCAGCTGCAGCGCCCCGTGGCCGCGCTCGTCCACGCGCGCATCCGCTTCGCGCGGCCCAGCGCCGCGCCCCCCTCCAGCACCATCGTCGCGCTGCTCGAGCTCGACTTCACTCCCGACCTCGACTGCTACGAGGCCGTCGTCGACGCCGTCGCGCTGACCACGGCCGCCGGCACCGTCGCGAGCCTCGGCGCGCTGCCCCTGCCCCTGCGCTGCGTCGCCCACGACCACGTCACGCTCGCGTACGAGATCCGCCCGCACCGCCTCGACGGCCTGCACGCCGCTGCCCGCGACGCCGCTGCCACCGCCCACAACGCCCTGCACATTGCCGTTTCGGCGGCCATTGGTGTCGCGCCGGGCGTGTGCACCCCGCGCATCGACATGGCGTGGACCGCCAGCCTCGACTTCAGCACGCCGCTGAACCCGAGTTTTGGCGCGCCGCCGACGGAGACGGGCATCCAGCGCGCGCACCGCCCCGCGCAGCTGTCCCTCTCCAGCGCCGCGTCATCGTCGGCCGTCACGCCGCTCAAGTCGTCGGCCGCCGCGCGGCCCGATGCCCTCCCCGTGCTCGAAGCCTCCGCCGCGCGCACCACCACTACCAGCACGGCCACCTCGGCGGTGCCCGAACTCGGCATCACCATGTCCTTCAACGCCCCGGCCGGCACCGTCCGCCCCGGCGACGTCTTTTCCTGGACCGTCTACGTGCTCAACCGCGCAGCCGAGGAGCCGCCCGCGGCTGGCATCAAGACCCCGCGCAAGCTGGCCCTCATCGCCATCCCCAAGCGCCGCCGGCAGGAGCCGCGGTCCTCGCTGCGGCCGCCCTCGACGGCGTCGCGCCGCCACGGCGAGAAGGAGGTGGCCGCCGCCGTCGTCGACGACAACGTGCTGCACGCGCTGCAGCGCAACGCCGCCGTCGACGGCGCCGACCTCGTCTGCCTGAGCGCCGACACGCGCGTCGGCCCGCTCGGCCCGGGCGCCTGCCACGTTGTCGAGCTCCAGTTTCTCGCGCTGCGGCCGGGCATCGCGGGCATCGAGGCCATTCGCGTCGTGGACCTGGGGTCGCAGGAGCATGTTGATATCAGAGACTTGCCGACGACGGTGATTGAGCCGCTCGCCGCATAGAAAAAAACGTACATTAAGCCCAAGGGAGATAAACTGGAAAGAAGAGGTACACACGAATATTACGAAGCAACGGAAAAATCTGTATGCAAGGTGTTGGTTGTATGATGTAATGCTCGATTTGTATGATTGTATCAATATGGTGCTTCGCTTTCTTTCAACAGCACGGTCTCGCCGCGTCCAGTTATGCGTCATGCCAGTAAAAAAAACCAAACAATGCAGATGCTTAATACCCCCAAAGTGGCGTGTGTCCATGCCTTTCCAAATAATTCCCCGGTCAAAATGATCAAAACTCCGGATCATGTGCTTTCCCAGCTTGTGTGTAACAAAAAATTGTAAAAAAAGACTCCACAAAGTATACTCCTTGTAAAACAAGGCAGGTCTGGATCTATAAAGTTTATTTATTTTGATTTATTCAATGTCATAGTCATCATCCCAGCCGAGCCTAGTAAAGATGGATATCTTTGGCTCGCCGCCTTGGCCGTGCAGCTGTGGCTGCCCAACAGGACTCGCGCTGACCTGCTGGTGCTTCTGCTTCTTGGCCGGCGTAGCAAAGACGTGGTCTCCGCTGTAGTGCTGGTTCTCGGTTCCTTGCGCAGTCCTGGGGGGCTGCAGACGGTTATTCGTGTTCGGGTTGCCGGACAGAGGACGCGCGGCGGCCGCTTGGAGACTTGCCCGGGCTAGGGGCGAGGGGGGAACACGCGGCTCTTCGTCGGCTCGGTGGAGGAAAGACGCCGTCGCGCGCTTCGTCGGTGTGCTTCCCACAATGTCCATCGCCCGCGGCGTGTTGAGGTCCATGGGGTTCCGGAAGCCGTTGCGTTGGCCAGTGGAGGGAACAAAGGGGCCTATGCTCGAAGGCGGGATGAATTCGTCCGTGTGGTGCCCGTGCACAGGCGTATCAGGAATCCCTTCGCCATGCGCAAAAACGTCTTTAAATCGGTTATTCGCGGGTGTCGCTTTAACAATCGAACTTCGTTGCATCTTGCGTGCTTCTGATATCTCCTGTCAGTCTTGTGTGCGGGTGTTAAATCAAGTTCATGCAGCAAGTTCAACTTACTCGCTGCTGCAATGGCCCTTTGCTGGTCAACCTCTTCCATGGCCTGGCCAACCACTTCCCTGTTTGGTTTCCGCAACGCCGCGATGGCGTCCTTGACCTGCGCATCCACCAGTGCCTGTCGACCCGCCCTAGACGCGTTCTGGCTCGTCGCCACACCGCTGCTGCCGCTGCGCACGAGTGCCGGTCTCCTTTGACTTTTGTCGCCGTCTTCCATCTTGGGCAGACGCCGGAGAGGGGCAGACTCGCCTCCTTCGCGCCTGATCCTGGGCAGGGATGTGGAGCTGGCTGATCGCATGAGCGCAATCATGTTGCTTGGCCCGCGGGACACGCTCCGACGGCTTTGCTGGTCCGTGGAGAGAGCGCGCTGCAGAGTTTTGGGCGGCCGGGGCGCGGCCGGTCTCTTGGTCGCCGAGCCGGGCTTCTGCTCCTTTTTGCTGGCGGAGCGCTTCTGAAATTTGCTGCCACCTGCGGGGATGATGACAGGGCCTCCGAGCTTTCGATTGATGGCATCGCACAGTTCAGGTATACGCGCCGAGAAACTAGGAGCCGTTAGTCTTCGAATGAATATAGTATAGCTTGGCGTATCATGACTTACAATGGCAATATAACATCAGTGCAGAAATCCTTGAGGGGCTCCGAGGATGCCTTCTGCACTTGGCTGCCATTGAGGCCATGTCGATGAGCCTGCGAGTCTTCCGCCAGCTGCTGCTCATCCGTCGCAGTCGACTGCCAAATGGTCAAACGGTCGGCATGCACATCGATTAGGACGGGCAAGTTGTGCTTGTTCCTCTTCTTCGTCGGGGCCGCCGCCGGTGAGCGGCGCGCCTGTAAGCGCGAGGCACCAGGAAGCGGCGGGAGGCCGCCGTCTGCCCCGTCCTCGGCTGCCTTGAGAGGCTCGAGGGCGATGATTTCCATAATCAGAATCATCTGCAGCTGCGTCTCGCGGGTGCGCAGCAGCGACAGATGCGATTTGATCTGCGTGGCGGTAAACGTCGGCTGCTCCCCATCCAGCTCGGGTTGGTTGGCGTGCCACCACTTGCGTATGCGGTCGTCTTCGTCGGGATAGAGGCCGTTTTTGCCGAGCTTCATTTTTTTCGCTTTGCGTCCCTTCGAGCGACCCTCGTCGGAGCTCTCCAACGAGGCGGATAGTTGGGCGATGATGACCGGTGCCGTGTCGCGGTACTTTTTGTCGATTTGGACAGTAGTGAGGACCAGGCTTTTGAGAAATTCAATTAGGTCGGCCATGTCGAGATTCGCTTCGAGATCCAGGTGGAAGGCTGATCTGGCTCTAGATAGAGGGCCTTTGGCAAAGTATGCGAGTGATCCCTACATGTACCGGGTTAAGAAAGGATCTCAGGGGCGCTAAAGAAAAACTCACCAAAGACTTGTATAATGCTTCGAAATAATGTGCTCGGATATTTTCGAATATATTGGTAGCCACGTCTTGGGGGCCATCGTCAATAGACCGGGCATGGATCTGGCTCGAGGGGAGTGCCGAGGGCTCGTCCATCGCTGAGCTATCTCTCTTGGTCTCTCCGGTGGGAGTACGAGCCCTGGCGGTCATGGGTTCCGCTGTTGGAGTCTTCTCGGGCGGGAGCTTCACGCAAGGGATCTTGATCTCGGGCATTTTCTCTTCAACCTCAGTCCCCTTGATGTGCGGAATCATGATCTCGGGCATTGGCGCTTC